TCAAAATCGAGTTTTTGCCCGGACACTGCCTTTGAAGCGCGAGCAATGGCAACTACTCGAAAACTTGGCAGTGACATGTAGGTGGAAAGAGACTCATAAGTGCTTGTAGAAATTCTTGAAAGATTTGATAGACAGATTTGGATCAGCTTCAGAGGTGCATTCAGTAGGCTTACGGGTAACTCAGAATTCGCAATTGTTTACGGAATAAATGATTCAGTTCATAAGAGGACGTGCTTGCTTCGCTATAACTTCATGTTTTAGATAAAAAATGAGACTTTCCAGAAGTGATTTTTTTTAAAACATGGTGAGGGTTTCCCGTAAAAGACAACTTCAAAGACACTGTGATTTCAGAACTTATCTCGTGCAAATTCTCAGTTCGCTTTTTCTGAAATACCAAATTCTCGATACTGTAAACGGTGATTTTTGGAGGAGGTATTTTTCGCAAAAAAAGTGCCTTCAAATGTTGACTTCAAATCTGTCATATAAATCTTTCAATTCCTCCAGCAGAGTTTCGATGATTAGTTTCCAGACAGATATTCTTGCCAAGTTTTGTTGGATCGCTACCAAATCTTCACGTTGCTGGTCTTGATTATCTATCTCCTGCGGCTACAGGCGGCAGGCCTTTGGTGCCACTGCACCGCCGCCCTGATGACTCTGTCCACTTTCTGCTTTTGGGGGCTACAAGGGTAGTATGGATTCCCAGGCCGTGCCTTTGAGAACATGCAGCATCAGTAACTCAAATGGGTTTCAAAAAATTGTTATGACGAATTTGACTGCGTTCTTTAGCCCACCCTGACGTTGCTCATAACACCGCTCACAAAAGACGATCACTTCACTCAGCTCAGTCATTACTTCCAGTGTCTGACTATTGTCCATACGAAAAAAAGTGGCCCGAGGACGTGCGCGATCACCGTCATTCTCACAGTTTCATGTTTGCCTCATTGAAACTTCCAACCTTGAAAATTACGCCCCTAACGCATCCGGGAGAGACGTTCAAGAGTTCAATTTCTCCAGAGGTTACCAGTTTGATAGCCCACTTTAGAACTATGCAATTCTTTGAAGAATATCAGAAAGAGTTTTCTAGCTGACTAGTTGTCTGAAGCAACCATCTACCAATGGCGGCTTCTGGTGAAATCTTGATCGAAAGAATCACTTAAACGCTAATAGGCATTTCCACAGATTTTTGACCTCCAACATTTACGTTTTGAAATATTTCAAAACCATTAACTAGCGCAGCTCATGAGACGACCGGACATTTGTTGAAATTGCTCTTAGAACATCATAAGATGCTAAAATTGCGCTAATCAGTACCCCTCTGTCTGGCAATAGAAACTGAAACCACCTCTTGACATGCTACAGCCAGCATCCGGCTACTTTTGTGCTCGTCTCGTATGCGCGGCTAGTGTACCGCGATACCCGACACAGAAATTAACGGCACGGTTTTCAATTTCAAACAGATGCTTATCATTATTGTGGAAAGTATTGCCGTTTCTGGAATGACGTGAATCTTGCTTTATGCTGTTCCTTTGAACCCTGTTTTCAAAGATAACGAGGAGAACATTGCTTCCTTATCTACGATGGGGAAACGAGATGGGCATATCGCGCCATAGCAAACAGGGTCGCGTGTTTCTTTTCTTATCATTCACAAGAAGCTTGCCAAGTCATACTTTTACATAAAGAACCCTATCTTGCTCGTAATTTCTGACTTTTTCTAGAAAACTGGGTACAGGAGGTGCGGAATTTGTGCACCGAACTAGACTCTTGCTAGCAGAACGTGGTCGTTCTTCTTTGCAATTCGTGGACGATTCTATAATGAAGCCAAGTCAACTGTATCTTTTCGCTTATAATGCCTTACAGGTTCTCGGGTGAGTGCATACCTTATATTTTTTCTAGTATGAGGTACCAGTAGTAACACTATGATAAACTCTAAGATACAGAAGAAATTTTCTGTAGTATTCGCGTGGTCTGCTTATCACATATGAGTTCAATGCTTCGCACTGTTCTGCCCCTTGCATTGTTGCGGCAATGGGTGCCCTACAGCATAATTTAGTATCTTACACCAGAAATCAGGTTATAAGACTTGTGGGAACTGCACCTTTCCTCAAGTAATTTTTCGATTGCTCGCCATCGTTAGCCTGGTTGTGAGGAACCTATGAGTGTTTTTGGAGCATTATTCACTTCGTTATTTTCTTGCACACAATCATAATTGTGCAAAAATCACGATTACCCCTGCTTACTCTATTGATGAGGTGATGTGCGAACGCCGCCTGAAGTTGCATTATTTATGGAATGCGACATTTTTGACACCTTGAGAAGCAAATGCAGAATTAGAACGAGACCTCTACTTTGGAGGTATACTGGACAGTACGAAAATCCTAAGATCAACAGAAATTAAGAATGCCATGCTAGTGAATTTGTGTCTTGAAATTACGCTCCCATCTACTCTCATTCCCACCAGCGTTATGCCCTGATTGTATTCAGTGCACACAACTAATGGAGACCTTTCAGCATTCACGTCAACCATTTATGTTTGGCCAGAATTTGTTTAACTTTGATTTTCTGCTAGTGAAAGACTTAATATCTCCTAACTTTTATGCCATGCCAAGGCGAACAAAGACAAACTTTAGCCAAACAAATTTTACAATCTTGGCAACCGCTGCAGTAGTCATTCACAGTTTAGTCTTTTAGTTGGGGCATCATTCTCATAAAGACCGTCTATGGGCTATCCAAACATCTATCCTGGCCTGAATTGTACACTTCTGTTGAGACCGAAGTGAAGATTTTCCAGACTCTCGCCATCCTTGAGGTAAGTGAAATGTGCAGGATTCCTTCTGAAATGTGCTTCCAAGGTTTTTACTTCTGGGAAGGGGTGTTTTGAGCTTTTATTCAGGTTGTCCACGCAGCAGTTGGTCTCGTACGTTCTCCTGTGGGAACTACTGCTATGCAAGTCTGGAGCCGTTTGCTACTGGTTTGGCCTATCCTACATACATGTGCTACGGTACGTTTTTCCATGAGACTTTTTTCTCTTCTTCACTCAAGTCGGATATGCTTCTACCGGAGTTCGTTTTCCATCCTAGACACAACACTTGATCACGCGCATTTCTAGTTAACAGCTACCTGGATGGCGCAGGAACTGTAAAATTACTCGTGCCATCTGCATTGTTTCCATTGAGTCTTTTGAAGGCTAATCTTCTAGGCACGTCAAAGTGTTGGTGTCCCCATGCTTCTCGTCGCCTGGTCTGTTACAGAGGTCATAAGGTACTCATTCTACGCACTTGGACTCTTCAATGCTGTGCCTTACTTCCTTACATGGATGAGGTGAGTTCGTGGTCAATCGGGCAACGAATCAGATTTATACAAGTTTTATGGATATTCTTTCATCTTCATTACACAATATGAGAACTTAATCATGCCAATGGACTCAGCTAAATTTTATGTGTAACTTGTTAAAGATATACTCTCTTCATTGTGCTCTACCCTCTTGGCGTGACAGGCGAACTTCTGACTCTCATCGGTTCTCTTCCAGAGGTAAGTAATTGTCATGGTTTCTCTCACTATACTTCCATTTTTGAAGGTTGCTACGAAGAAGCACTACACCATTGAAATGCCGAATCCTGCTAATATGGGTTTTTCATTCTATGCTGTTTTGATCATATCAGCACTCCTCTATATTCCGGGTTAGGCTTATTTCTTGATACTATACGTCTTTCCTTGGTATTATTTCATGTGAAATTTCAGGTTTCCCTCAACTTTATCTGTACATGTTCGCTCAGCGAAAGAAGGTGCTTTACGTGGAAGCTGCAAAGAAAAAAGCGTAGGGAGTAGGGACTAGTCAGAGCTTTTCTTGTTAATGAAAGAACTGTAACATTTTCTACTTAATGACGCATGACCTCTGCCGAATTTGCCTTCCAAAGATATCTCAATTTTAGTTTGAGGTTGCAGTGTAGCTTCAGCCATGTAAGCATTTTTGGTACCGGTGCTATTGCTGTGTGATAATAAAGCATTTTGTTTTCAAGGAGTTTGCACTTTTGTATCCGACTTGCACCATGAGGGCTACTACTGATTTATGTGTTGATTCAGCTTTATTCTTATAGGAGCCTGCAAGATCGCGAGAATAGGACGTGCGTACGGCCATTGCGCCGCGCACGCCAAATG